AGAGTTTTTTAAGGGAAAGAAGTGGAATGTTATGCAATGGCCAAGTCAGTCACCTGACCTGAATCCGATTGAGCATGCATTTCACTTGCTGAAGACAAAAACTGAAGGGAAAATGCCCCAAGAACAAGCAGGAACTGAAGACAGTTGCAGTAGAGGCCTGGCAGAGCATCACCAGGGATGAAACCCAGCGTCTGGTGATGTCCATGCGTTCCAGACTTCAGGCTGTAATTGACTGCAAAGGATTTGCAACCAAGTATTAAAAAGTGAAAGTTTGATTTATGATTATTATTCTGTCCCATTACTTTTGGTCCCTTAACAAGGTGGAGGCACATATGCAAATTGTTGTAATTCCTACACCGTTCACCTGATTTGGATGTAAATACCTCAAATTAAAGCTGACAGTCTGCAGTTAAAGCACATCTTGTTTGTTTAATTTCAAATCCATTGTGGTGGTGTATAGAGCCAAAAATGTTAGAATTGTGTCGATGTTCCCAATATTTATGGACCTGGCTGTACATGTACATAAAATCCCCCACTGATCATAAAGGAGATACCCCAAAGCAGGTTGGCTACTATTTGGATTGTCCGCTTTTATTGTATCTGGACCTCATAGCACTGGTGTGATGCTTCAGTTTTAACGTTGTTACATTACAAGCCAAAGAGACCATGAGATCCTTTGAGGTGTAGAAGCTGCCTACCAGGGAACCAGGTCATCTACATCAATACTTTATGATAGCAATATATTAGTAAGATAACCCTATGGGCTCTTTCACACGGGTGTTAAATTTTAAAGTATCCTTAAAAGCACATAACGCACCTACAGACTTAATGAGCATTTTGGATACGTTGTACAAGCGTTCATGTTGCATCAGGCAACACTTCTCAAACACCCTGCAAATTGTTTTTTTTTGGTTTTTTTTTTTTTAAAACAAGGCTCAGGGTCAGTTCACATAGATATGGATCAGATGCGGTTTGAAACCGCATCAAATCCGTATGACATGTGAAATAACATTGGTTCCTATGGTGCCTGTTCGCATATGTCCAGTGCACTGGAGGTGCAGATTTAGGTGTCCGTTTTATGAACCAGCAGTAATAGATCGCTGCTCAGTTCTCTGGCATTCTCAGGAGAACACAGTTCTCCTGTGAATGCCGTTTATGAAGCATATGTAGATCAGTTCTCCAAAAGAAGGGAGAACGGTCTACAAATGCTGGAAAATGGCTGATTTTACTATAATCTCGCGATATTACAGTAAAATATCAGTTTACTAAGCAGAGGTAAATTATCTCTGCTTAGTTTTCGGTCCCTCCAATTCTCCAGCTCTGGGCTGGAGAATCTGGAGGGAGAACACAGATCTCCAGTGAAGGGCTGAACATGTTCTCCTGAGTGTCATAAACTGTGAATGACCAGAGAATAGCAGTGATCCTCTGAATCTCAGCTATTCTGTGTGTCATAAACGGACACCATTGTGCGGATTGAAAAAGAGTCAAATCCGACTTTTGAGCAGTGTGGTCCAGTTTAGGTGTGGATTACAGGCTATTAACTTCTATGGGAACCATTTCTAAACCGCACCGATAAAATCCTGACCTGAACCGGATCTAAACCTGTCCTGAACCTTATATAAACATGACCTGAACCACTTAACTACTGTATCAATTAGCTGTGAAACCTGAGCTTCAATCCACAATGCACATGTGTAAATCAGAACTAAAAAATGGAAAATGATCACTTTTGACATTTGGTAACCGCAATGTAAACACCAAGGGCGCATTTACAGTGCTTTTAAGGTGCTGCTGTGGTGCATTTCAATAGAAGTGAATGGAGGCAGTTGCAAAGCATCACCTAACAAAACTGCCGGGCAATGTTAACGCCGCAACATGAAGCAACGTTAACACTGCAGTGTGAACACCTCCAGCCTCTCACTATTGTAACAACTTTAAGTAGGCAGTCAGGAAGCAGTAAACGCAACGCAACCCAACCGCCTACTTTCAATGCCTGTGTAAACAAGCCCACTTTCCTCAGCTGTAAAGCAGGACGAGCATATACAACAAATTGCTCCAGCCATCTGGTTTATGTTTAGATTACTTTCACATTAATAGCCTTTGCAGTTGCAGCAACTAAGAAAATGTATTAATGTGTTGTATTAATAGCCAAAAACAGCTTTGTCATTTTAGATGACATGTCCAGCAGGGTAGATTTCCCTTCACTTCCTGTCTTGGAGACACAAAAAGAAATCTCTCGAAAGTGAGAATTCCCATTTCAGAGAGTTATCACAGAAAGAGATGGCCCCCTATTGGACAATTTTCCCTCTGATGATCACTCAAAATGTTAAGATTTACTTTTAGTTAACATCCTGATGACAGTGGTCACCAAAAGAAATAGATGGCTGAATCTCCTTATTAGGGAGACAGACACTAAAATAAGTCAAGAGTGTACTAAAAACTGCTGAAACTTCAAAAGTATGATCCTGCCACCTAGGGACCATATCACATATTACACTGCCAGTAATTGAGCCCCACATCAAACCATGTAAGCTCATGCCCCTGTGCACCCTTCATGTTGCATTTCATCTATAGGCCTTTGATTCAACAATAATATTTTTATTACTTAGACTACTAAAGTTATATAAACAAGACCCTCTTTTGGCCGAGTAAGGTCTTGCAAATATTGGTTTATGCTCTATATATTCTAAATACCAAAAAAAAAAAAAAAAAAAAAAAAAAAAAAAAAAAAAAAAAAAGGACAGAGAAAGTAGTTTGACGTGTAGTTTATTTAAAGCAACTATTTTTTTTTTTTTTTTTTTTTTTTTTTAAACTAAATTTATTATTTTTTTTTAATTCTGTGATTTGCCCAAATATACATTGACAATAACCTGGGTTTAAACTGGCAGAGCAGATGCCATGCAGAGAGAAAACCCTGGGTGTATGAGGTATTCTGGAAGATTTTTTTTCCTTGCGTATTTCTCATATGCCCAAAGTCTGTAACTAATTGAATAAAATATACATTAAGGGGCCCGATTATAAATCAGGGATTGATTGGATCACTGATCTTTTGCCACACACCACTGCAGATCTGTCACATTTGCTGCATTTTTAAAGCCTATTCAGTGGCCTGGTGTCTGCTTCCAGAACGATGCTCTGTTGCTGACATAAGCTAAACCTGTACTTTATAAAACATTCAACCATTTAATATGTGACAAATTTTATATTCACTCTTCCCATTTAAAGCTTGGTGTTTTTAGAAAATGCAGAACAGAATTATTTTTTAAATTATGCTACTTCAAATTGCACGGATTAAGACAGTGCCATAGAAATACATTAGATTTGACTTTAGGTGCGATTTGTAATGCGACTTTAGGTGCAGTGTAGCCAGGGCTAATATAACAAAATTGTCAATTTGTGTTAATTTTTGCTGAATCTGTATTTACATTTCAAAGCACGATAGCCTGCAGGGGCTCCAGAATACTCAGAAAGACACTGGGTGATACAAGCAGGTACCTTAAATAGTTAGTCTGGCTGAAAAAAAAAAAAAAAAGTACATCCAGTTCAACCAAAAAAAAAAAAAAAAAAAAAAAAAAAAGTTATGATCCTATACCCACAGTGGATCCAGAGGAAGGCAAAAAAAAACAGCAAAGCATGATCCATTTTGCTTTTGCAGGGGAATAAATTTCTTCTTGATCCCCGAGAGGCAAACCGGATATTCCCTGGATTAACTTTACCTACAAATGTTAGTATCCAGTTATATTATGTGTATCTAGGAAAGAATCCAGGTCTTTTTTTTTAAAAGCAAAGCACTGAGCTGACCAGAACCAACTCTTGAGGGAGTCTATTCCACATCTCTTACGGTGAAGAAACTCACCATTGAATTCTATAGGAGACCTGAACAATTATATTCCAACCACTATATCTGATCTCAGGAAATTGCTGAGATAAACAATGAAGTCTCAAAGAATGCAAAAAATATTTTATAATCCATGGTAAGGACATTCACGTGGTAAAGATTCCTTAACAGTTTTGTATATTTTTCTTTCCTAAAAATATTTATAAAGTTTTAAACAAGACCACTGCATTTAAATACCACTAATTTCTGTAAGAGGACAATGCAGGTACAGGCCAGACTGTAGCCCCAGCATACAGTGTCTTCAGGCGATACCTTACCTGTCTCAAGGATCTTCGTCCTTGAATCACTGTTGTACCCGTTTCTGTGCTGCTTTGCCCTGGGTCAGCCTGTAGAAAAGTTAAAGCATTAAACGTCATTTTTTAAGGCATCTGTTTATAATTTTGTTTTCCCACACAAGATTCATGCAACTTTTGCCCAAGATTCATACATTTTCTGATTGGATACAATTGGAAAAAAAAAAAAAAAAAAGTGAATCCTAGGTGAAAGTTGTGCGAATCGTGTTTGAAAACATTAATATACCCCTAAGGCCTCAAACTGGCACTGACAACCCTGCGTTTATATGCATTTAGAAGACATTTCTAAGGACATGTAACGATTTTTAATGGTGTGAGTCACACTGCATTGGGTGCGGTCAGTTTAGCTGCATTTAAAGAGAAAGAAAATTTGTGCGCCAGGATCCAATTAGAAACTCCAAATGCAGCTAAACATATGTAAATAAAGATGTGGGCCAGGAGGAACAGGCTCAGCATTCAGGAAAGGGATTGCCCTCTTCTGTCTACGTGCAATGGATTGCAGGGCAGTCGAGTGTGAATAGATAGCGGAGTCCGTTTACACCCAGCCGTCAGTATAGCACTTTGCATGGACACTGTGTCCACTCTGCATAAACTGGGGGGGGGGGGGACAGACTTAAAATCCACCCGCTCTTCTCTGATCAGCAGGAATCTGTGAGCAGATTTCCTGTTGAACAGGAAGGAGTACGCCATGTGAAAGAGACCTAACATCCATGGTGCAGCATGTTCACTGTTTAGTGACCTCAGAAGAAGAGAATGTCTGGGGTTCTGAACAGCTAAACAAGCCCAGAAATATACATGGAGATCAGTATTTAGTACCACAAAAGATTATGTACACATGAGGCCCCATTCTCAGAATTGACAGTTGTGATCACTTTGCATATATTCTGCAGAACATTATTTCTACATCTTTTTACCAGCTGAGTACCACCACTCACCCTCACACGAGATCTCCCAAAACCCCACTGAAGATAGCTGAGCAAAACCAAGATGCTCATGAAGATGAAGTTGCTGGAAATGCCAATCACAGCAGACATGACTGGGAAATTATACAAGAGGTACCTGTAACAAAATACTGAATGTCAGAATATGCCAATAATATGGCGAAAAGAAAAACGGAAGTAAAAAGCCAGATTGAAAAAAAACAATATAAAAACCACAAATAACACTAAAGAATTTCAAACTACTGTCCTTAAGCCTTCAAAAAAATAAATAAATAAATAAAAAAGGAGGCTAATCCAATATTAGTTATCTTGAAGTATCACAAGGAGTGAAACCAAAATGTGGACCCAAAGAGGGATTACTATTAACCTTATAATAATTCTGAGCTGATGGAATGAGAGCACTGCTCTTAACTGTAGCCTCGTGTAAAGCTGCTGCCATCTAATGGATAAAGGAGAAAGACACAGGATAAATTGGAGAGGTATGCATCAGTTCAGATACCCAAACTTTACCTGACAATTTTGTAGATTTGGGCACTTTACACTGGCTCAGTGGTAGGTACAAAGTTCTACAGGTAAGTTCAAGTCTACAGAGCCACATGTGGAACTTTGAACTGAGTCAGCAGCAAAAGTATTGCTTTGTATGGCCTCCCTGATGTGGAAAGTTTGGTGGAGGAGAAACGATCAACAACTACCACCACCAAAAAACACTAACAGCTGAGACAGGTTCACTTGTATACACTGTATAAAAGTGCCACTGTAAAGTTCTATGCTACTATGCTGTAGAGTATTATTTTTCCAGCAAAGCAGTATAGTCAAGGAAGAGTGTGGTCAGTTGACAAGTGTTGGGCAAGGTGATGCTCTTTCACACGTCCTAGCTTTCATGCATTAGTCGGTGCAGGAGAGGCATTGGAAAACTCTGCCCAGCACTGCACCAGCATACGCGATGTGCGTGGTCTTTGACAAGCTCTCTAACTTCCTAATGAATATTTCAGAGATGCTGGAATATCTATGCTTTATCAAATGCAAGCTAGTTTTCAAACAAGATCTCTGGCTCTGGTAAGGAAGCCCCCAAACAGGCCTCCCTTCATGGGTACCAGGAACCAACAAAAGTGTAGACATACAGAAATAAATGTCAAACATTAAAAGGTGAGAGAGTCCAAGTTACTTTTATGGTTTGCAATTTCTTCACATTTAAAAAAATGCCAACGTATGTCCGGGCATCAGCTATCACTGACCACACTGCATAATTGGAGTCTAAAATGAGATTTCAAATCAGTCCAAATATACATCTATTTGGTTATAGTCTTTTTGAGTCAATTGAAGACTTTATTTATTTTTTCTAAGTGTGTTGGTTGCTTTTTATGTGATCGAATGGCAAACGGTTCAAAGTATTTTGGACATTTCACCTTTTGGCTTGGCGCGCCAATTCGTGAATGTGGACACTTTGCAGTTCTTGCAGTAGTATGGGAGCTTCAGACATGCACAGAACTGGATAGTAACATTACTAAGTCGTGCTCTGACGATCAGAGTTTCACAGTGATGATGTATTGAACGAATGAAAAACAGTACTGATTGAAATTATGCAAGAAAAAAAAAAAAAAAAAAACCCACACACACAGCTGTACAGTAATGGAAAACAAGTCAAAGATGTAAGCAGCCCTCAAAATTTCCACTTGACCGCTTGCATTGAGCAAGTGGAAAGAACGTGGGGGCAAGCAGCGCCTGGACTATGGGTGGGTGGGAGAGTTGGCGGTGGGGGCAGTTACAAGCACCAAGCTGTGGGAGGGAGAGGAGAAGCGGCTTCCTTGTAACTGCCCCTACCGCTGCACCGATCATCCCCGATCCTTCAATTCCTTATCGGGGGCCCCCCTGCATGCTCCACATTACTCAGCCCCTCCTCCCATCCTATGCACCAATAGGAGAGCTAAGGATAGAGGCTGGATCTGCTCTGCCTCCCCCTGTGCCCACCCACACTCCAGTCCGTGTCATGCAGAAGAGGATGTATGGGAGGGAGATTGTATACAAAGCAGCCGGCACAGCTCTGTGATGCTTCTGACTGAGCATGTGAGCTGTGGATTATCCATGTGAGTCCGACTGACCATCTGACCTTCCTTCCTATCCCTTTCCCTTCCTTCCTCCTCCCCCCCCCACTTTTCCTCCCCTCCATCCTTCCTTTCCACCCTTCCTGCACTCTTTTCCTTTCCTTCCTTTATTTCTGCATAAAACATTTAACAGTACCATTTCATGAGATAATTTACAAGGGCTTGAATAGGGGCGGGGCAGGGTAGGGGTTGGGTGGGGCAACTGGTGGCGAGTAACTCTTAAGTCCTGGTTAGTATCTCAGGATTTGAAATTTTGAGCCCAGGCACAGCATAATAGATTGCATTAGAGTACCAGGCAGAATATGCACATATAAAAACAGGGTGAAGGCAGTGTTTCCCAAACCTACTGTATGCCCCACTATCAACAGTCCATATTCTGAAGGTAACCTCACATGTGCACAGAAGAAGTAATTTGTGTTTCATCGATGTATTATAGCTATAAATGTAGACAGATAAACATAATATGTTGGTGAGGCTTAAGGACAGGTTTGGAAAACACTGCGGTAATGTAAAGATTGCTGGAGAACATGCAGTAACCCTGATCCAACCTTCATTGATTTGATTTCTACATACTGAAATGTGACTGGTTGGTATAAGTTACTTTGCATATTATTAGTGCCCTTTGCTCCAATTTATTAAACAAGCCTGAAAATACACCTTTATTATCATCCATAATTTTACAATTTTCTTCGGTTAAAGTAGTATTTTTCTCAATAGAGAAATATGCGTAACATTTGAAAACTCAAGTATTTTATGTTATTTACAGACAATATTACTGTACTGTAGAAAGAAGATGTATCTATGCAGGAATAAATCTTTTTAAAAAAAAAACAAATGGAGTATAAAAATAGTGCTAAAATGGACAAAAGACCTTAAAAGGTGTCGAGCTATTTTATACTGAGAAACCCTCTTCTGTAGGTTGAAAAAATGTTTCCAGGTAATCCTATTTTTGTGTGATGACACCATAGAGCAGTTTAAATCTTTGATTAAAGGGAAAAAAAAAAAAAAAAAAAAAAAAAAACGGACCCCAGAACATACAGTCAGGTTTAGATTTAATGTGCATTTAGCATTAAAAGGACCAGTCTAGCAAAACCCATATTTAAATTTTTGATAGATGCTATAGATTTAAAGCTGAAGTTTAGTATTTTGTTTCTAAAAGCAACAAGAAAGATATTTACATGATCAAAGAAGGCCCCATGTGCTTGTAGGTGCTGCACTCCTTGAAATCTTCAGTCATCCGCCAATTAGATAACACCCCCCCCCCCCCTTCCCAGCTGTGATCTTCCAGTGCTGCAGGGTTATGAGTGGCCACCCTATTCACCCCCCCCCCCTCCCCCGTTCCATCCATAAAAGCTGTACTATTGGTTCCCACAATGAAAAACGCCCTATGAACGAAAGGCAGAAGGATTAATGAGAGGCCTCCTTTCTCCATTCATAGATCACTTTTCATGCAGAAACTAATAGTTTGGTTTCTATAAGCGAAGCAGGGGGGCAGAAATAATCTGCATTATTGATGAGTGCCTGTGACAACTGTAGTCCTGCATATTAACCTCCACAGCACCAGAAGACCACAGCTGTAGAGCTGTAGGGGTATCCAGAAAGCAGAGAACTGACTATTTTAAAAAACACATCAGCGAATGCTGGTGCTTGATGTCCATGGTGCAGATTTAAAAAAAAAAAAAAAAAAAGTCACCAGCTCATTCAATCAATGGTGGTTAAGTTTGGGATTTTTTTTGTAATAATTACAATTCCCTAGGTGGATACAGCATCCCCCGCCAGCTATAAGGCTAAGAACTGAGTGATCAGACACCGCTGATCGCTCAGTTCTCCTTGCTGCTCTGAGCTGAGGTTCCCCAGTGCTCACTGGAGTGCTGGGCTGTGGAGGGGGCAGGCATCAGCTGCCAGTCCAGGGATCTGGGTGGATCCTAACTGTAAAGTCATGATCTTTCCCCAGCCTGGACCAGCCGAGTGACATTCACCGACAGTGGACTTTAGCCTGCATTCCTGTAAAATTGAATTGCATTCCTGTGATCCACAGGAGAAGTACAGCCAGACAAGCTTTAGCTGTACTTCTCTAAGACTTCTTGCATCTCACAGACACTAATGGTCTGTTCCCATATCTGTATACCCGCCATGGTCATCATGAGGAAGTTCTACTCTGGGTTTCGATTTTTAAATGTTTCTTATAATAACCCCAATTTATTCAAAGAAAACACCAGGTTAAAAAAAAAAAAGTTTTTTTTTTTTTTTTTTTAATATGAAAATTACAGGGACTTGGCACAAATATAGATACTGATCCATGCATTAAAAGCAATATGAATAGAAGTCTATTCTGGCAAAAAAAAAAAAAAAAAGAAGAAGAAGAAGAAGGAGGTCTCCACATTTTTGAGATGGCGCTGAATAGAACCAGGCGCTATGGCATAGAGATTTCTGCACCGATTTGTGAAAAAGATACAAGAAGTTTGGTGGACTTATTCCTGCAGGCTCCATTATATCACCTTTAGGAGGACTAACCTTTTGAATGACAATTGGGAATATAGCCAGTTGGCTGATCTATACTTGGTCTCACCTGAGTCCAGTAAAGTGCGCATGGACACGGAGCTCTGCACTGTATATCTGTAAACGGATGCTCTGTATTTGTATCACTGCCCCTGTGGTTGGGACATACTGCAGAAGAAAGCAAGAGTAAAAAAGGGAGGAAGCAAAAGAGTGCTGAACAAATAAGAACAGGGTAGTGGGTGGGGGGTTATTTACAAAGACAGTTACCAAGTACAGCATGTTCTCATGAGCATTTAGACTAGGGCTACACAGGCAATTAATCTGCTCTGCTACTAATGGCTTGCTGACTGAATTCAATGCTAATGTAATAACTGTGTGCTGCAGAGATAACTGCCAACAAGTGGGGAAGTCTGAGCAGCAACAATATTTAAAGTGTATCTTTAAATATTCTGTTACAGAAGTCAAAACTATTATGTTGTAGTTTTAACTAGAGTAAGGAATGGTTAGAACCTCGGCTGAGATTTTTTTATTGTTGTCTGTGTTCCTAATAAGGAGATTTACCCCTCTCCGTGAGCCCCAATGATCACTGTTACAAGGAACAGGGATAAGAAACCAAAATGGAGTTGTAAATGAAACAGGAACAGAAGGGAAATCATCCAATGCGGATACTTGTTCTGATACCTAAGTGGGGCTGTCCCTTATTTTGGAGAGATTCACGCTTTCTGTTGTGCCTATGGGACAGGAAGTAAAGGTGATTCTTCCCAATAAGACACAGACAGCAAAGAAAAAACCGTTAGGGTTTCTTAACCATTCCTCACTCCATGCAAAACTAAAAGACAAAACAAAAAAAACTTCGCTATACAGCACTTTAATCTATTGTGATAGCATTGGTCAGGCGACAAGTTCTCTTTATGGAGACATCACCTAATTTCTCCCCTGCCCTCCACCACAGCTAATCAAGTACAGGTCATAGTTCATTAGCTGCATCCCCAGTAGTTGTGAGTTCATTCATCTGATTTTTTCAGCTCTCCTTCTGCTCAGCATCTTGAAGCAGTTTTTTGTGGTTCTGGGCTCCTCGGAGGAACAAGAAAGCCTGTGAAACACTGCAGTTAACACCAGATAGGGGGTGTCATAGCTATGATTAAAGCTCAAAAAGGACAAAATGCATTAGCATCCAGGTCATGTTTTATGTACAGTGGTGTAGTGCAATGCTGGACACAAAAACAAAAAACAAGTCACACACACACAGGCACGTTTAGCCAGCACTTACGCCATTAATTATTCTAAGCATGTGAGAGACCCACTACCAAATGAACACTTGCCCTGGCACGTCATAGCATTCACTTGGCACCCCAAGAAATAACAAAATCCAACTGCAATATTCTTGCACTGTCAAAACCTCCACTTTTATTATCACACAACACACAGGAGGATATACCTTATAGTCATCACAATCTGCATAAGAACACACAGCAATAATAATGTGAGCATTACAGCATGAAAGAGACATCTTTTGACAGTGTCACAGCAAAGAATTAATACATTACCAAAGCTACAGGAAGGAACAGACCCTATCGGAACCATAATGCACAGGAGGTTGCAGAGAAGAATTAAACACAACCATTATGATGACCCATATAGCCTTGGCAAAAATCCCAGCGTCAGAGCATAGGAAAGCTCCCAACTTGACTTGTTCAGGCTTCACAAAATATATCCTGTTTCTGGCAACTTTCCCGAAATTAGCAGGCACCATGCCCACTCCATGAGGAGTTAGCAGAAAGGCTCCGAGTCACACCGAGTCACTTTACTAGTAAGCAACATCTTATCTCGTAATATCACACTATTGCCACAAATCAGCTTCTTATCTACCCCTAACTTAAAGATTTCTAACGTCTCAAACAAGTAAACATTTTTACATGCAAAAAACTATTTATCTAATTTAAGCAGTCTAATGTAAATATTTCTAGATGTCACAAACACTTATCTGCTTTAAGCAGTCTAATGTCTTGTGACTCTGTTCCTTTACTCTAAAGAAATTACATCTGTGTCATTTCTCCTGCTTCTGGCATATGGGCAATGATGCTTTATTGTAAAAAATTCCCCAAGAAACAAAAGGGTCCAAGGCCAAAACATTTCATAGGCAATACAAGTGAGCATAGAAAAAAAAAAAAAAAAAAAAAAAAAAAAAAAAAAAAACACAAAAAACAAATCACCCCCTTTAAAAAAAAAAAAAATAATATCACATTTTGTTGCTTTGTAGCCTGAAATTAAGACACAAACTGTTTTATCCAGCTGTATTTACTTAGTGCCACTTACAACATACAAGTGAAAGATATAACACCAACATGTCATAGAAAAAAAAAAAAAAATCAAAAACAGAATCAGAGTTGGAAAAAAAGGATCACCCCCTTGTGTCAGTATTTTATTGAACCATATTTGGCTTTAATTACAGCCTTTAGTTTGTTGGGATATGTCTCTACTAACTTTGCGCATCTAGACTTTGCAATATTTGCCCACTCTAATCTGCAGAACTGCTAAAGTTCAGTTAAAATTTGCTGGTGACCGTTTTGTGGACTGCAGTCTTCGAGTCATTCCATAGATTTTCAATGGGGTTTAAATCTGGACTCTGACTAGGCCACGCAAGGACATTCAACTTTTTCTCCTTCAACCATTGTGTGGTCATTTTTGCTGCGTGCTTTGGGTCACTGTCATGTCGGAAGGCAAACCTTCTTTCCATTGACAACTTTCTGGCAGATGGCAGATTTTCCTCAAGAATTTGACGGTATTTTGCCCCCTCCTTTTTTGCCTTCTATCCTGACAAGTGCTCCAGTCCCTGCTGCAGAGAAACATACCATAACAGGACATTACCACCTGCATGCTTTTCTGTAGGCATGGTGTTATTTGGATGGTGGGATGTATTTGATTTATGCTAGACATATTGTTTCGTGTTGAGGATAAATAATTAAATTTTAGTCTCATCTGACCAGAACACCTTTTTCCATGTGGTCTCAGACTCTTCAAGGTGCGTTTTGGCAAAGCTCAGTTGTGACTTCATGTGGCTTTTCTTGAGGAGTGGCTTTTTTCTTGCAACCCTCCCATACAAGCCACATCTGTGGAAAATGTGTGATATTGTTGTTACATGTACACAATGACCAATCTGTCAAATTCCTGCAACTGCTTCAGAGTTGCTGTAGGCTTCTTGGTAGCCTCTCTGACCAGTTTCCTCCTGGCTCTTTCATCCAGTTTGGCACAACATCCTGATCCAGGGAGGGTCTGTTTTGTACCAAAGACCTTCCACCTCTTAATAACAGATTTCAATGTGCTTCTAGGCATTGAAAAAGCCTTTGAATTTTTTTTTATCCATCTCCTGATAAGTGCCTGTCCGCAACTTTATCCCAGAGATCTTTTGAAAGTGCCTTGTCACCCATAGTTGATGGTATGCTTCAGCTGTACTATCAGGGACTGAAATGCTCCAGGAAAGCCATTTTCATGCTGAGCTAATCAAATGACCACAGCTGATCACAGACGAAAATCAAATGGCTTTGTGTGCATTTGAGAAGGTGATTAGCTACACCTGATTGAGTTTACAAGTCATTTTTAGGAGGGGGTGATTCTTTTTCCAACTCAGTGTTTCTATTTTTGAATTATTTTTTTATGACGTGTTCGTGTTATAGCTTTCACTTGGATGTTATAAGTTGCACTTATACAGCTGGATAAAACAAAAACTGTGCCCGTCTTCATTTTAGGCTGAAAAGAAACAAAATGTGATTATTTTAAAAGGGGTCGATTCTTTTTTTTTTTTATATCCACTGTATTTGCCTTTTAAATCAGCAAATTTTAAATACAGATCTTGAGCTGTGTGCCAGCATTCTACTCTATTTGAGGACTTTTTGTGGTGGACAGGTGCCCTTGCTGCAGTGCACTTTTTTTGCTTGTTGCAGTGCTACTCAGGACTAGAGAATTGATCAAGTTATAAAAATTTAGCCTCAAATCACTGCATCTGTCTTTTTAAATGTCCCGCCAATGTTATGGTCACCATTTATAGAAAGTGTGCAAGTGTGTGTGTGTCGGAGGAAAGAGGGGGATGACAGATAACCACTTTGTGATAAAATTAGAGGTTTGGCACAAACTGTAGAAAAATAAAGAAAAAAGAAAAAAGAAAAAAAAAAAAAAAAAAAAGGAGGCCAGTGAAATACTAAAAGGAAAAACCAATGACTGATCACAGAAAATGACTAACCGAATCCTCCCGATACTCAGAGTACAGCTCCACTTCAACAGACTGCTTCTGTTCAGACATACCAGACAGCAACATAGGTAATGTGGTCAGAGTCTCCAGTGTCCGCAGCAGAGGAGATTTGAAGTGCAGCATTGCCTGGAAAGACACAGTATGATAACATGATGCCAGGCTCAGTACGAGTTATTGTGATAAGACTTGGACTAAAGCTGAAACCATTTAAAATCCTTAACAGCCACAAAGGACATACATACACATTGTGTACACCAAATGCCATTGCAAACCCAGTTATTATCTTGTAGAGGTTACATCAATGTGCTGCACATAGTCTGTGCAGAAAACAGAACTGTGGGAATGATCCAGTAGACCCCTACCTGTGATAGATGTGGTGTCAGACCCTGGCCACCTTCACCAACTTAAATGGCTGTCCAACTCACATTGTGCTGTAACTGATGTGCGAAAATGACACTCAACCTCAGCCTGCACAAAGATTTTCCAGCTTGCAGGACTACAATTTAAGTGCTAGCAGATAAAATGATCACTGGGTTTGGATAACTACACAGTTAACCCTTTATAACCCCCAAAATACAACCACCAGATATTTATCATAAATAAAAACGTTCACAATATTAGCAATAACAATTTTAAATTTAAATAAAAGTCTGTAAATACCCATCTGTCACAGCAGACAGCAATATTCAGTGATTTGCAATACAGTAACGCCATTTAAAAAGAGACTGGGATCTCTAGTTTTTGCCTTAGTACATTAGAGACAATATTAACCACTTGAGCGTCGGAAGGTTTTACCCCCTTCAAGACCAGGCCATTTTTTAGCTATTCGGCACTCCCCACAGCAAATGTACAGTGAAGGGGGGGGCGCGGTTGCCCGCAAGAGGTTAACACTTTTCAAAATATGATTTAATACAAAAAGGAAAAGCAGTGCAAACAAAATATCAACATAAAAAGGGTATTACAAAAAGTAAAAAAAAAAAAAAAAAAAGACAAACATGCAACAGTAAACAGAGTTTAAAGAACCTCTTTGCAGGGGAAACTTTGCTTTTAAATTATTATTCTAGGGACAGAGTCACTTCAGTGAGATAACATTTATGCCCGTAGATACGAAGACTGCACTGCATAAAATTTACTCCTGTGGCTCCACACCTTGTCATGAGTTTGTTTTAAGAAGATTTGTATTAAAGCGGAGCTCCACCCAAAAGGCAAAGTTCCATTTTTAATGCTTTGTCCCCCGCTCCCCATTAAGGATTGGCACCTTTGGGGAGCGGGTACACAAATTTGACAGGTACCCGCTCCACTTTGGCTGCGATTGCCTAGGCGATCAGAAGCGGAAGTTGTCCTCCCCCTCATAGTTTTCTGGAACACGCGCCACGGAGAGGAGACGGCTGGTGAAACCAACGGTTGTGAGGACACCGCAGGACTGAGGGACATGTAAGTGGCTGTATTTTAAAAGTCAGCAGGTACAGAAAAAGTTTTGCCTCACTACATTCTCTGCATTAAGGTAAAAAAAAAAAAAAAAAAAAAAAAAAAAAAAACACTTCTGTGTTCGGCTCCACGCAGCCCCCCAATAATTACCAGAGTTCAATCTCCATGCAGCACTGCCTTCAAGGGCAGCGGCTCTCTCTGCCCTCTCTACTCACTGCCATGGAAGCAGCAGCGGGAAAATCTTGGCTCCTGCTGCTGTCAATCATAAACCTGTGAGGGAAGAGCGGGGGCTGGGCCAAGCTGCACCGTGTGTGTCAATGGAAACACAGAGTGGCTCGTGATTTAGACCCCGTGATTCCCCACACAGCAAGCGGCTTGCTATCGGGGCACACAGAAGGGAGAGGAGCCAGGAGTGTCAACAGGGTACTAAAGCAGAGAAGGATCAGTACTGCTCTGTGCAAAGTTATTGCACAGAGCAGGCAAGTATACCTTGTTTGTTGTTTAACCAATTCCAATACCAAGCACTTTTACCCCCTTCCTGCCCAGGTCAATTTGCAGATTTCAGCGCTGTAATGACAATATTTTCACACAAATAAAAATGTCTTTTGGTGGTATTTAATCACCACTGGGTTTTTAATTTTTTGCTAAATGAAAAAGACAGAAAAAAAAAAGGTTATAAAAATTTACAAATAAATAAATGATTGTTCTTCATAAATTCAGAACAAAATTCATTCTACTACATTTCTTTGGTGAAAATAACCCAAATCAGTGTTTATTATTTACTCTTTAGGAAAGTTATACACAAGCTATGCCACTTCTCTGAAATAGTGATCATTCCTGATGTACTGATCTCATTTCTTGAGGCCCAAAAATGTCAAAACAGTACAGATCTCCCCCAAATTACCCCTATTTGGAAAGTAGACAGTCCAAGGTATTTAGAAAGGTATGGTGAAATTTTGCAGCTGTAATTTTTTTGTCATAATTTTATGGAAAAAATAGGAAATTAAAAAAAAAATTAAAATTTTTTTTCTTTACATACTGTCACCAGCGCAGTACAGTGTCATCATATAACTGGTTGGTGGTGATCAGGGACACTGACTGGTGACAGTATAAAAAAAATTTCATCTTTTATCACAATTTCTTTTTTTAACATACCATGACCAGAGCAATATAATGTTACCATAGTAACATTATACTACTCTGGGGAAGTGATCAGGATTTTTTTTTTTTTTTTACACATTAGGATTATAATTTTTACTGAATGAAATAGATTCGTTCAGTATGTATTGTTATGATTAGCCCTGTCTGTACCATGTGATCACTGTGACCAATCACAGCTAGCAACACAAATTTTACACAATGAAAAGCATGAATCAAACCTGAGGCGCGTTCCAGGAGTACATCATAGGACATCCATCCGGAGCGATGAAAGTCCCACCCAGCACTTTTGCAAAAGTTGTTAAAAAAACACAAAACAAAAAAAAAAAAAACACACAAAACCTCTTTACAATCACTTTAGCTTGAGGTGATTGTAGCCGTATTAGTGCACTTGCGACAGAAATAATTGAGTAATGACGTGATACTTTTTTTTATTTGCACGAACATACAATTTTGAGGACAAGCTTTTGGGGTATGTCCCCTTCTTCAAGGACCTTGAAGAATGGACATACCCCGAAAGCTTGTCCTCAAAATTGTATGTTAGTGTAAATAAAAAAAGTATCACGTTATACTCAATTATTTCAATCACTTTAGCAAATCCTGGTTTTGTGAGTTTGGAAAGTCCACTCAATGGGCATAAGATGGATCCGTGGCTCTAATAAATCTTGGCTGATGTTCCTTGTTTGATGTTAAAAGAGAGAGCTTCAGACTACTGATGTAGGCTCTCTTTTCTGGTCCCCGAGGAGGGTGTGGACAGAAATGATCTGACCAGTCAGAAGGTCTGAGGAGTGGCTGATGGGATGTCACAGTATTTATAAACTCCATCAAATACAGTTGCATACATATTTTAATATTTTTGGAATACCTACAAGTTGCATTCTGGTAACTTTTATATTATTGCTCAGCCTGAAATTTCCATTTGATGGAATACATATACAGTAGGTAGCAGATGGCTATTTCGCCTAGGAGATGTAATGGGCCTAATCCGCCTCCAGTACCTCTTAGGATAGTGGTGTTTGGGCTTAAAATTCTACTAATTGATACAGGTAAATATGTCCTTATTCTGGTTGTACTGTTATCTTGTAAGCAAGCAATGCAATGAGGTTTGGATTCTTTGGCTACTACCAACCAGCCAGGAATTCATATGTGGCTATTCCATCAGCTGAGCCATGTATGACAGGTGATAAATCTGAGATTATTAGCTAGGAAGGATGTGTGTTAAGATTCTTGTTACTCAAACCTGGAAGCTTGAAGGTTTTATTATGGACATTAGAGCAGGACTGGCAAGTGCACTGTGGTAATGCATCAAATTCCAAACAAATATTCTTTAGAAAATCAGAAATTTAGTGCGTTTTGTAATCAGATGGTGCCGCCATTAATTTCGAAATTTGACCAACCAAGCCTTCAATTTCACCTCATGTTGCTACAGAAAACAATTTTTGTGGTCAAGAATTTTCTCTTCTTTCCAGGTCACAGCTCATGGCATTTCTTTTTATTTATACTTCCCACACAATTCACATCATTTATTTGAAATTCGTTCGTTTTTCAAAAAATTTTCCAACATGCCTGATCACTCAAATTCAATGGTCATACGAAAATCGGCCGTTTCTGTCACCCACTAATGGTGCGAAATGCAAACAAAAAATTCTTAGAAAAGATTTTTTGAAAGAAAATCCTTTCAGAATTCGACCCATGTATGGCCGGCTTTAGGTTCTCTTAATCCTATCAATGTACTGATAAAGATGTTTGGAATGTAGCTAAATAATTGTTACTTGTATAAAATGCCCTCCTGGGATTATGGAAAGGGGAATCACTAATGTTAGGTGTCTCCGATTCTACAAAATGTCATAGTGGACTTATGAATTCTGAACATAACTGCCCTGTGTCTACTCACACAGTTCTGGGGATGCCCAGTTCACATTATCATCACACCACCCACTGCAGGCTATCTGCAGAAAACTTAGTAAGGGTGCAGGGACAGACAGGTACAGGACAGTAACCCTGCATGAGATAGAGCAGCAGTGACTGGTCTTTATTACAGGAAGCTCCTGTAAATGTAAAATTTTTACATTGGATTGTGGCACAAAATCAGTAAGGAATTCAAAAAGCACACCAAGATTTAAGAATACATATGACTCATGTATTTAGACATTTGCTTATCCTGGAATTCAGCTTTAAAAGTAATAATTGCCTTTTTGTAATTATTGTGGCCAATGTAGGTAAAAGCAGGTAAAAACATGTAATAGAACAACAATAGACAACCGAGTCCTAACTAATTAAGCAACAGCAGGCCATAATTTTTCTACAGGGAACTTAGGCAAAAATCACTGCAATGCACAACAGTTCTAATATCTGCTTTCACACAAAGGGATTGATTTAATATACTTGAGTATGCAAAATCTGGTGCACACAAACCAATCAGCTTCCAGGTTTTTTTTTTGTCAAAGCTTTATTGAACAAGCTGAAGTTAGAAGCGGATTTACTACCATGCACGGCTGCACCTGATTTTCCACTCTCCAGTTTTAGGAAATCATCCCTTTATTGTTTGACAGGTCCATTGCTTCAGGGTCACAGGAGGGAAATTTGGTACAGTGAGTAGGACACTAGTCATCTGCAGCTTGACAACACAATCCCCTCTCCCGTAGTCTATGTATAATTAAAATGCTATAAAGGCCCATCAACTCGCTGTCACTCATCTGTTTTGACATTCTGTTTTCCTGTTAAACATGTGCCTTTACCTCCACACCATACTCTAGTTTGACAAAGTAAATACATGTATAAAAATGTGCTTATGGGAAGAAAACAACAGAGTAACTCACGGATCGAGCAGTGTAAGAAATCTGTTTCCCCCCTCGAGTGTAACTTGACATAGAGACCATGAACATCCCAAGATCCTGATTAACCATGGACTCCGGGACATGGAGCTCCAGAGTAATGCGATAGGGCTGTCCATACATAAGCACCTGCAAGTAGGAAAAAGAAAATAAATCTGTTATCTACATATAAATTATGACCATATACCACACTATATTATATGTATACCAACATAAAAGTAGAAGAAAAGCCTAACTATATCTATTCTTAAAAAATTTCCATCCCCCCTCCTCCTACCTATCCTGAATAAAAAAGATAAATATGAAAAAAAAAAAAAAAAATGTGAGTACTTACCTATTTTTTTTAATCCACTGGTCCGGTCTCGTCAAGTGTCTGGCTGTCCTGTGTCAGTGAGCAAGCGCTTCCTTATACAGAGGTGCAGAATCACATGACCGTAATGGAGTGGATTGAAAATAGATAAGAACATAAGGGTTTATTTACTAAAAGCTGGTTCACTCAGAATCTCGTGCACTTCTGCATAGAAATCAATCAGCTTCCAGGTTTTATTGCCAAAGCTTAATTGAACAAGCTGATTGGCTACAATGCACAAGTGCATGAGATTCTGAGTGAACCAGCTACAGTAAATAAACCTCATACTGTAGGGGCGAGGGAATATTTTTAAGAACAGTTATAGATAGGGCTTTCTTCCACGTTAAACAGGGAGCATATTCTATAAAATCTGCACACAGGAAAAAATGTTTGCCAAACAGAGTATACAGGATTATGTGATAATTCTTCTTACCCGATCACGATTATTTCTCAGAAGAGACACATTGGCTGTTGGGAACGAGCACAAGATTCCAGGTGGTGCGTCACAATTGGAGCTAAAGAAGGCAGAAATACACCAGTAAATACAAAAAAAAGGGCGGGCTCCCTATTGAATTTGTGATTTAATTGAAAAGGTAATTTGCAAATTTGTGGCCATCTTTGGAGAGGTACATACTAACCATATGGAATGGAGTATAAATCCTGTAATACTGTCATTGACTTGCCTTTCCCTGTAGCACACACATAATTAGGTACTCCATACATGTCTCTAGTCTCCAAATTACATCCGTTTAACTTATACCTTCAGTCAAACTCAGATTCCATTTCTGGATCTGTGGATTAGCATGAAAAATGGAACATTAGAGACACTTTCCGAAAAAAGACCTCTGCGAACACCTTATTGCAGTCATCATCCTGAATGGATAAAAAATGGGAACACCAAATCGGACAATTCCTGCACATTAAACGCAACTGCACAGACCCAGAGAAATATAAAGAGGAAGGAAAGGAACCGTATGCCAGATTTCGTGAACGTGGTTACTGCCATAAACAAATTAGACGTGCAAAGAAAAAAAAAAAATATCTCGGTGATGGGAATAATACCGTGCGATTAATAACTCAGTATGGAGTTCAGTGGAACAGGGTACGAGATGTCCTTCAAAAGCATTGGGGGATTCTAACTAACAATCCAACTATATCACAAATTGTAGGGCCTACACCAAAAATGACAGCCCAAAGGACATGCAACTTAGGTGATATCCTTATGCAATCTGAATTTGTGAAAAACCCGACACAGAACTGGCTAACTAAATATCCTCAATCAAAAGGCATGCTTGCATGCGGAAAATGCCAGACGTGCCCTTTTGTAGATCGCACTGCCACATTTTATGACAGTGCAGGTGAAAAAGTTTTGAATTCAGGATTGAACTGTAATTCTACATGAGTAGTCTATATGATAACTTGCCCATGTGATAAATTCTACATAGGCAAAACTAAGCGACCCCTAAAGGTTCAATAGGGGAACACACATGAAAGAATTTAGGGAGCAGAATCCCAAAAAACCCCTAGCAAAACACTTTCATGCCTGTTAATTTACCTTTGTGAAAGAGAGCAAAGGGTATTTATGTGCTTAAGATCCCCCAAAGACGTGGGGATTTTGATCGCATTTTGCTACAAAAAGAGAAAAGCTGGATTTATAGGTTACAAGCTCTAACCCCATGGGGACTAAATACTGAAATGAATTTACAAGTTTTCCTAGAAAAATAGTTCTTTGTGAACAGCTGTGAACCTTGTTAGCGTAGACAATTTTGATTCTCCTTTGCTTATTCTATTTTAAGATATACACTGCATAAGCCTATTTTTGCTGCATTGAAAACACAAATGCAAGCTCTATATATTTAGTAGAGGGAAAGTTGTGATGTTGGAATCAGGTTCAAAAGCCAGTGCGCTGTTAAAATTTACCGAGCTGTATAGCAGCATAACCATTACAAATATATAAAATAGCAAACAAGACATTGATTTAATTCACTAACGGCGGTCGGTAGGCGGAGATATTGTAGATATAAGGGATCACCTGAACACCGCCCGACATCTAGATGAAGCTACACTATGTTCTAGTGAAACGCGTTGACGACATCCACTACGTCACATGTGAATGCCGAGGTGATGGTCCCTTGGAGTCCCCTGGAATGCTGGTAGGAGCATGGAGAGACTCTTGACCTATACAAAGCCATAAGGATCAGCAGCCAACTCTTTGTGAGGATTGGACTGACACTTTGAATTGTGGAATGGCAGTGGGCGGGCGGGTGAGCGGTAATGTATGTGCCACCCTTCCCTGGGAATTAGAGGAGACCTCAAGGACAGAAGAATACTTAATACTCCTTTTTATCAGGTCCAGGTGGACTGAAAGAAAAACGGTGTTATAAGTAACTGTGTGCCATTTCTGGTTGGCTACTTGCCCTAAGGTGATGCTGTTCATAGTCTGTCTATACCAGGGGTGTCCAAACTTTTTTCAAAGAGGGCCAGATTGGATGAAGTGAACATGGTGGAGGGGAGACCTCAAGAACATTTTTCCAAACATTCTTTGAACCATTACAATTAAATGCAAATAATTTTATTTTATGCCAAGTTAATTGCAAACGACATACTTTTCATTTCATAACATTAAGATCAACTGACAGCTGAGTTTTCACAATGTATTGAAAATAAATTTTAAAAAAAACTTACCTGCACTGATGTGAAGGGTTGAAAAAGGTAGCTGGAGCTGAAGTCTCTGCTCGGCAGCCGGGGGGAAGCCATTTTCACGCTGGAAGCCCGGCCCTGACGTCACCGCCCTCTGTCGCTCCCAGCGCAGCGCAGTCACGCATGCGCACTGCTCTCAAGCAGAAGACTGTCTGCCACAGAAGGTAGGGCCGTGCGACAGCCGCATTTTGGGAGAACGCGCCGCAGTCAGGCATGCGCACTGCCCTCTGCTCTCAAGCAGAAGACTGTCTGCCATAGAAGGGAGGGCCGTGGGAGGCCACATTACACAGAGCAGGGAGGGCTGTTGGAGGGCCGTATTAAAACCGACCCCCGGGCCGTAAATGGCCCGCGGGCCGGACTTTGGACATGCCTGGTCTATACTCACCATATCCACAGTTGGATAAGCTGCTCCCTGATGCTGTCAAGTGCATTTACCAAGTCCTTTATTGCTCAGGACATTTTGTGATTTTTCTTCCTGCATTGCACTCTACGGGGTTCTGTGTGATGAACTAACTCTTTTGATTCCCTATGGAATATAACCATCTAACGGATGATTTTTCTCACTCAAACTGCCACACTGACCATCTTGGGCCCGGTCACCTAATTGAGCATGCCTCTTTAGGCTTTATTTTAGTGCACTTGTGTCTCCTTTTGATTATTGGGCCCTCAGAGATCCCAGATTCACACAAGGGGGCTACCTTGAAAGCTATTTTTGACAATATAAGTGGGGTGTTGCCACGGTATGTAACCCACATGTGAATTTATATGTGTCTGGACGTACTTTTATTTAAACAAAAACAAACAAAACTGCACTCAAAGTAATACAAAAAATACAATTGGTGCTCAAATCATTGCTGCCACTTCTAATAAATCAATGTGACCAAAAAAGGAACAACTTAACCTCCCTGGCGGTATTCCCGAGTGTAGCTCGGGGTAAAGTTTCAGCACCACAAGCGGTAACCCCGAGCTACACTCGGGCTTACATTGCGGCGCTGCTCCGCGATCCCTCGATCACTTACCTTGTCCTGCGCTCCCGCGATGTCCCTCCTGCAGTGTCCCCGGCAATGTAATCAGGCAGATTCCAGCATCTGTCATCTGGGTTCCATCCCCTGCGAGCGTCGAGACGTACGGGGGACGGAACGGCGGGAAATTTGAAAATGACAAAAAGTGACTGTCACAAACGTGCACAACACACAGCGACAGATGCCGACTCCATTTTGTTAAGAGTATCCATTTCTCCCTTATTCTTCCCTCCCCCCTCTGAGAGGAAACATTTGGCCAGCGTGTGTGTGTGTGTGTGTGTGTGTGTGTGTGTGTGTGGTTGGTGTGAGTCACTGGCAGGCCAAGGCATCTCTGAACTAGGTGCCTGGCTGTCTGGGAGAACCTGTGCCATTTCGCACCTCGGAAGAGATAAGGCAAGCTCTCTCAGGAGTTGAAAGATTCTGACCTAATGAGCCTAACTCAGCGTAGGTGACAGAATCAGATAACACTCCTCAAAATCCATTTTCCCCTATGTCTAATATCTTGGAATATGAGAGACTTACATAAAAAAAAAAAAAAAAAAAAAAAAAGACATACCGTCAGATTGGATAGGAGGAGCCGAACAGTTTGATCACTCGACATATCTTGCATACACAGGAAAGCAGAAAAATAGATCTCATGAACCGTTTAGCCTACACTTTCATAATTCATATCTAATCAATCCTCAAACTTGTCTGCATAATAATCTACCCGCGGGTGGGATGTCACTTGTGCATAGGAAAAGTTATGAGCCCAAATATGAACTAAACAAGATTTTGGCTCTAGTTTAGGTTGACACCCCAGAACTCCACAAGGTATTGGTCTGTGGCGTCAGAGACACCCCCCTGCTGGGGACTTTAGGCTGTCAGGCCTAAGAGAAGTTAAGTTGAAGAATGCTCCCATTAACCATCGTAACATAGGGAGATCAAAAAGCACCCTTTTGCTCTGAAACTTGGATCGGCTAACCCAGGACTTTGGCAAGTACCTTAACCCTTTCACCTCTTTCTGATATCTCTTTGCTGTGCTATGGTTCTTTGTATATGTATATATCTTAGTTACATCTTTTTTCTGTAAATATTTTTATTTGCAGCCGTTTGACCTTTTAGTAATAAATCTTTCTTTCTGAAAGTGTTGAACTGTTTCTATAGCTCTGTATTGCAATTTACGAATCCCTGCCTCTAAAGAGAACGCTACTATTTGTTTAACCCTCTGTATAACATGCCTGTGTTATGACCATTTTATACAGACGATTATCTCAATCATTATAGTGTTTTTAGCTGAGATCGACGAGTTTCCTCTTTCTCTGACAAAAAGGAGGTGGTGGCAGTGTGAAGGGTTAATTGCGTAATTAACCTGAGCCAGGCTTCCAGTACATCGATTGTGGTCCGTTAGCTGGAAAATCGTTGTGCAGGGTGCAGCTGGGTGTGGCATTGTTACGCATGTCACATCGCGGTTTTAGATCGGCTAGTCCTTCGGTCACGAGTTTGGGTGAAAGGTCTGGGGTCTGGCATCGCGATCGTGACATATTGGGCGTCGCAATTGTGGGATTGTCGCATGTTGGTGGCGATCTTGCGATCATGACAGTGACATTCACTAAAATCACATAGTAAAACATTACTGTATCAAAGCATTTCACATACATTTTGTCCCTAGTGCTTTGTCCTGTGCCCTGCCTGCATTTTTACTTTTCTTTCTGCCTGGAAACTGAGAAATGTCCATGGCGTACAAAAAGCGTCCCTTTAGGTCAAAAGCGGTTTTAGACCATCTAGAGAACAGCAATAGTAAATTAGAACCACTTGCAGAATTGAATGATGATTTGTGGGGAAATTCGGCATCAGACACTAAAAAAAGATTTTACGACTAAGATCAGTGATGTGCGAACTTGGCGCTATATTTCAAATTTCAGTGTTTTTGGTTTGATTATATTATTGAATTAAATTTATTATTATTTTTTTTTATGATTAAATTATCATTTATGATTTCACGTTTCAAATTTTAACATACCCGGGATGTTTACTAGACTCTTGTTCGGACAGATTTCAGTTAGTTATTCCTAAAAATTACAGGCCTACAATAAAAAAAAAAAAAAACTACATATTTCCATGCAAAATAATGGTACCACTTTCCGCACCAAAAACCTGAAATAATCAAACCGCCAGGGAGGTTAAAGTGGTTCAGTAGCGCAAAATATCATAAAGTGAATACCTGCGCATCCTAAAGAGATTGACATCTTGGTGTATGGGAGATGTTTTTTTTTTTTTTTTTTTTTTTATTAAGCGATTTGGCCAGCCATGAGAGCAGGTGGCATATTCATTTGGTGAGTGCACACCCAAAAGGGGGAACATTTAATTTTGTACACGTCTTGAACTTTCTTGGATAACTTTTTTGTGGGTTTATTAAAGACTTTATTTAGGACTTTTTCACATCAAAAGTCATATTTTGGTATTTATTGTTTTGTCTATTCATGGTTTCTATGTGCTGAATTCAATGATTGATGCTTGCATCCACACTGGTGTTTTGCTCATATTGTGTAATAAAACTGTTGGTTTTATGATATTTAGTATTGAGACTCATTTTCTGCGATACCTATGCCTAGTAAATATTTGTCATCAATAGTAACCACTTCTGCCTACTCTTTGGGCAGTTCTGTTTTTACTAGGTACTCTATACATGTCTCTAGTCTCCAAATTACCTGGTAAGACCTAGTCTTAGACAAGACACAGGACAGGACCACCCTCACCTACACCTCCTCCCTCCACGCCGCCAAGCAGGCCTACTTCGTTAACCTGATCAACACCCTCTCCACCTGCCCTCGCCGACTCTTCTCCACCTTCAACTCCCTGCTCTCTCCCCCCCCCCCCTCCTCCACTCAGTACCTCACTTACCGCCCACGAGATTGCCACTCATCTCACAACAAGATTGACGCAATCCGCAAGGACATAGTCAACTTGCAATCTACCTCCCCATCTAGCCTCCCCCCTTCCATCACCCCCTCATCTCTCCCCTCCTCTGACCTCGCAACGGCACTGCCCCCCACCACACCCAAGGCCCTGCCTACCGTAACCCCCCCATCACTGCACTCCTTCAGCCCTACTACCACTGAGGAAGTCACCAGAGTCTTCTCAGAAGCCCGCCTCACTACCTGCCCCCTGGACCCTATCCCCTCTCAACTCCTCCGGTCACCCCCCCCTTCCCTCATCCGCTCCCTTACCCACATCTTCAATCTCTCCCTCTCTACTGGCGTCTTCCCCTCCCCCCTAAAACATGCGCACATCACCCCCCATACTCAAAAAGCCATCCCTGGACCCCACTGACCTCAACAACCTCAGACCAATTTCCCTGCTGCCACTCACTTCCAAGCTCCTTGAGCGCTTGGTCTTCGATCGCCTAAGCGCCCACCTAACTGACAGCAACCTCCTTGACCCACTACAGTCCGGCTTCCGTCCCCTACACTCCACCGAAACTGCCCTCCTCAAAATCACCAACGATCTACTAACCGCCAAAGCCAAAGGCGACTACTCTGTCCTCCTCCTCCTAGACCTCTCCGCGGCCTTTGACACAGTCGACCACCCCCTCCTCCTTAATAAACTACTCTTCCTTGGCATCAGAGACACCGCTCTCTCTTGGTTCTCGTCCTATCTATCCCAACGCTCCTTCAGCGTTTCCTACAACGATGCCACCTCCTCTTCCCTCCCCCCCTCTCTGTGTTGGGGTCCCCCAGGGCTCTGTCCTTGGACCCCTTCTCTTCTCCATCTACACCTCCTCCCTTGGCAAACTCATACACTCCCACGGCTTCAATTACCACCTCTACGCTGATGATACTCAAATCTACCTATCCACCCCTCACCTCACCCCCACATTCTCCGCCCGCATCACTCACCTCCTAAACGACATCTCTGACTGGATATCGCTCCATTTCCTCAAGCTCAACCTCTCCAAAACCGAGCTTCTCGTCTTCCCCCCCCCCAGCCCCCCGCCCCCCCCATCCTTTCCATCACTACCAACAACACCACCATCAATCCTGCCCAGCAAGCCAAGGTCCTTGGCGTCATTCTGGACTCAAACCTTTCCTTTTAACCTCATATCAAATCACTTACAAACACATGCAGGCTCCACCTCCGGAACATCGCCAAAATACGCTCCTTCCTTACCCCAGACACCACTAAACTACTCGTACACTCCCTGATTATCTCACGCCTTGACTACTGCAACTCCCTCCTCACCGGCCTACCCCAGTGCAAACTCTCCCCGCTTCAGACCATCCTGAACTCAGCTGCCAGACTCATCCACCTCACCAGCCGCTCCACCTCTGCCACCCCCCCCCTCTGCCTCTCCCTCCACTGGCTCCCCATTGCCCAACGCATTAAATTCAAATTGCTCACCCTGACCTATAAGGCCATTCACAACACTGCCCCTAACTACCTCACCGACCTGATTCCCAGGTACCACCCTACCCGTACCCTTCGCTCTTCACATGGACCTCCCATCTTGCTCCCTGGTCTCCTCCTCCCACGCACGACTGCAAGACTTCCCAGGTCCTCCCCCATCCTCTGGAACTCACTACCCCAATCCATCAGACTGTCACCTTCCCTCCTCACCTTCAGGCGCTCCCTGAAAACCCACCTCTTCAGGGAAGCCTACCCCACCCTCACCTAACAGCCGCTGCCAATCCCTCCTCCTACCACTCCATCCCCCCACAGCCATTTCCTCCTGTGCCTCTACCCCCTCCCTCCTAGATTGTAAGCTCAAAGAGTAGGGCCCTCTTACCCCTTGTGTGCCGTTTGATGTTACTGTTCTGTTTCATGTATTGTGCCCCCTCTATTGTACAGCGCTGAGCAAACCCTTTGGCGCTATATAAACTCGATAAATAAATAGGACCAGCCTATGTAATCTTCTGGAGCAGTTTCTCAAACAATCCTTTGTAAAAACAAAGGTTTCCTTAGGTTTACCTTTGGACAAAACATTTTTTTAGCTGTGAAAAGAATAGGGAAGTGATAAAAGTTGTTACTGCTGTCCATGTTCACTTGGGAATGTTTTCTCTGTAGGAAATTCATAGCGGTCACAGGAACAGGAATAGAGGGAAAATGGGGACACCTGGTCCAGTGACAGCTGTCTAAAGGCATCTTGGAGTACTTTCCTGTCATTTCCTCTTATCTCCCTGGAACAGGAAGTGAAGGGAAATCTCCTTAACAGGACACAGACAGACAGACAGACAATAAAAGGTTTTAGCCATTTCCTCCTCTAGCCAAAATAATAAAAACCATTGTAGCAGGTTAGCACATAATGAGATGAAAGACTTCTTTTGATTGTAAAGCTTTATTATTAAAGTAAACATGTTGCATTTAACTTTTTAAACATCATGATGCACAACGTGAAACTAATTTTGGTATTTAACACAAAACCAAAAATGTAATATTTTGCAGCTTATTAGATGTGGTGGCTAAATCAGCTTTTTTTTTTTTTTTTTTTTTTTTTTTTTTTTTTTAAGCTTTCCACCTGGTGATTTGGCCAGTAACACACCTCTTGTATAAGAGTGCCTACACTCTGGATGATGGAGCAACAGAGACACCTTTTGACAGCATTATCAATCTAGGGCAAGAGGAGTGTTTGATGTACTAGCAGATTAAAAATACACTAAAATTCAAGCTCCAGCTAATACTTTATAAGCCATTACAGCAAAAAGTTTTTTTTCTTCTTTTGGGAAAAAAGGTATTACAAAAATACAATCTGATCACTGTAAGCATCTCTGTCGGTGGCAAATGGTTTGTCTCAACCCCCTAACTGCTACATCTGCAGGACAGCTTGTTCTGTTGAAAAAGAAGAGACTTACTGGCTAGATTACCAGGTGAAAATAAAAGTTTGAAAAAGAAAACTAATGCAGCCATCACATCTAAGAATTTGTAAGCTGCAATAATAAATATTTGCTTTTGAGTTTAATAAGGCTTTAAACATACTAAATTTATATATTATTAATAAAATATGAAATGCTATCGTGCTCTTTTCAGCATTTGATAAAAACTCAAAAGCAGAAAAAAGGACTATTTTTGATGATGATATCCAGGCAACCAATAAATAGACACATGAAACACGTCTAAGGGGCTAGGATCTCTCTCTCTCTATCGAGAGAGAGAGAGAGAGAGACCCCACAAACTGGTGAGCTCAGTGCTCTGCTTTCTCCTATCAGCATGCTCCTTGTACTGATGCACAGCAGGTTGTCTCCTTGTGCTGCTTTCTCCTGCTCTGAATTACAGACTAAACTACAAGAGGCCGGTACCAAATCAAATCCTGGTACCTACACTGTTTGCATAAAAATACATTTAATGATGTACTAAAGCAAATCTGCATAATTTGTGCTCATATCTGCCTGGAGGTAAGCTTTAAAAACAAGATAAAACTGCCAACAAACAAAAATATTCTAGAAGAATAAAATACTGTTTGGACACTCACCTAAACTGGTAGTGCACTGGACTGGAGTATTTAACAGTTGGCATGTAGGAATAGTAGAAGCTGCCATATAAAAACACAGACACCCAGAGAAGCAGGAGCAGGATACAAAACAATATTCCAGTCTGCAGAAGTATCCTCCGTGCTCGCAAAAACATCAGTAGACACATGTCTTCCATCCATAGCAGCAGAGGGGGTGATGTTTCATGAGACATGATGGTGGAAGGGTAGTGATCACAAAGGCACAAGAAATGTCTGGCAATTGGCGACCTAAATTTTCAATCTTGGCAAGAGTTAAAGGGTTGTGCTTGCTGGGACTACGTTGAGATTTTACACGTGGTTAAGCATAAAAAAGTATATTGATCAAACACAATAAGAAGTAACAGGATCTGTAGAGGAGACAAGGGGCGCTGTATGTAAGGAATGGCTAACTGTAAATGTATCATGCTATTCATAGGTCTAAAAGTGGCTGTATAAATATCTAGCAGGCAGTTAAGCAAAGAGGAGGCTTCTAATGGAAGAAAATGGAGATTGTTCGCCTGTTCCTTCAAAACACATGTCTGTAACATGCTTTGTATGGATTTTAAAATTCTGCTAACTTCAGAAGTAATTTGTGTTTTCCTGTCACATTACATTTGAGTGTGGAAATTAAAGTTATCTGTGGCATATGATGTCCTAAGTGGAAGTGTACAGGAGGTCACTGGGGGAGGGGAAGAAATGCCAGGACCAGTGGTTTTCAGGCCAAAGGCAGTCTGTAGAGAGGAGAAAAAATATGCAACCATTAGTAACAGTTAATATCACATGAAAACAGAAGCTTATTTCAAACTACTAGATGGATCCTTCATTAATGTCAAATGATACACATCCTACAATACTGGCAGATCATCAATATGTGGCACACCCTTCTTAAAGTGGAAGAAAACCTAACAATTATTCTTTAAAACATTCCCTCGCCCTATTGACAGATGTGTCTTTCAACTCACTTTATCGTACACATTCTTTATGTACTTAAATTCTTTTCTCTTTTTTTCCTCCCTATCTTTTTTACACATATGTACTCTTCTGAAATGTACTTTTCAAATGTGCCTTGTTACCCCATATAAAAAAAGATCTGAATACTTGTCTTTTTTTTTTATTATTATTTGGTCCAATCACCACATCCTGCAGCTCTGACTCCCTGTGAATCCCAGGAGCAGTGACATCACCCATAGGCTCCCATGACCCAGCCACTGTTGGCAATCCTCACTCTCCCCTGCAACAGCTACTCACTGGGAGCAGGAGATACAAGCTCACATGACAGAACTGAAGTGGATTAAGAAGAGGCAAGTACACTGATTTTTTTTTTTTTTTTTTTAATACAGGGTATGCAGGATAGGTCGGAGGAGGGGGGGAGGGAACACTTGTAAGGTCAAGATCGCTTTTCTGAAGAAGTTATGTTTTACCCGTATATAGGGTGCACCATTTAACATATTCAGCATGCACCCCCCTTTCCCCCCTCCCTGTAAAAGAGGGCAGGGGATCTTCTCCCCACACCCACTGTCACAATTTAAAAAACAGAGTAGCCGTGCAGGGTTCCGCCCACACAGCCGCAGCATTTATTCACAGTTTCTTGTGAATGATTAAGCTACAAGTACTATTAGTCAGTGACAGCTTCTAGCTCTCAATGAACTGCAAGGGCACTGGTAAGCGCTTTCATAGTTCAACTGTCTGCCTGCTCTCATGTAACTGCCTGCAAATATCAGTGGCAGACAGCTATCCTGAGTCTACCGGAGCCTGGCATTGCACCAGCTACAGTTGAGCAAAAAAGTGTTTAGTCAGCCACCAATTGTGCAAGTTTCTCCCACTTAAAAAGATGAAAGAGGCCTGTAATTGGCATCAAGGTAGACCTCAACTATGAAAGACAAAATGGGAAAACAAATCCAGACAATCACATTGGCTGATTTGGAAAGAATTTATTTGCAAATTATGGTGGAAAATAAGTATTTGGTCACCTACAAACAAGCAAGATTTCTGACTCTCACAGACCTGTACCTTCTTCTTTAGGAGGCTCCTCTGTCCTGCACTCATTACCTGTATCAATGGCACCTGTTTGAGGTTGTGGACAGGTGTCTTTTATACTGATAACAAGTTCAAACAGTCACACTCCAAACTCCACTATGGTGAAGACCAAAGAGCTGTCGAAGGACACCAGAAACAAATGTGTAGACCTGCACCAGGCTGGGAAGACTGAATCTGCAATAGGCAAGCAGCTTGGTGTGAACAAATCAACTCTTGGAGCAATAATTAGAAAATGGAAGACATACAAGACCACTGAAAATCTCCCTCGATCTGGGGCTCCACGCAAGATCTCACCCCGTGGGGTCAAAATGATCACAAGAACGGTGAGCAAAAATCCCAGGAAAACACGGGGGGACCTTGTGAATGACCTGCAGAGAGCTGGGACCAACGTAACAAAGGCTACCATCAGTAACACACTACGCCGCCAGGGACTCAGATTCTGCAGTGCCAGACGTGTCCCCCCTGCTTAAGCCAGTACATTTCCGGGCCCTTCTGAAGTTTGCTAGAGAGCATTTGGATAATCCAGAAGAGGATTGGGAGAATATCATATGGTCCGATGAAACCAAAATAGAACTGTTTGGTAGAAACACAACTCGTCGTGTTTGGAGAAGAGAGAATGCTGAGTTGCATCCAAAGAACACCATACCTACTGTGAAGCATGGGGGTGGCAACATCATGCTTTGGGACTGTTTCTCCGCAAAGGGACCAGGACGACTGATCCATGTACAGGACATAATGAATGGGGCCATGTATCGTGAGATTTTGAGTGCAAACCTCCTTCCATCAGCAAGAGCATTGAAGATGAAACGTGGCTGGGTCTTCCAACATGACAATGATCCCAAACATACCGCCCGGGCAACGAAGGAGTGGCTTCGTAAGAAGCATTTCAAGGTCCTGGAGTGGCCTAGCCAGTCTCCAGATCTCAACCTCATAGAAAAACCTTTGGAGGGAGTTGAAAGTCCATGTTGCCAAGCGACAGCCCCAAAACATCACTGCTCTAGAGGAGATCTGCATGGAGGAATGGGCCAACATACCAGCAACAGTGTGTGCCAACCTTGTGAAGACTTACAGGAAACGTTTGACCTCTGTCATTGCCAACAAAGGATATATAACAAAGTATTGAGATGAACTTTTGATATTGACCAAATACTTATTTTCCACCATAATTTGCAAATAAATTCTTTCCAAATCAGCCAATGTGATTGTCTGGATTTTTTTTTCTCATTTTTGTCTCTCATAGTTGAGGTCTACCTATAATGCCAATTACAGGCCTCTCTCATCTTTTTAAGTGGGAGAACTTGCACAATTGGTGGCTGACTAAATACTTTTTTGCCCCACTGTATCTGCTGATTGCATCTATTATGTGCATCTTTTTTTTTTTTTTTTTTTTAAAAAAGGTGAACTTAACCTTTAAGAATAGTTAGTGTTAGGCTTTTCTTCCACTTTAAAGCCCCACAGTGGGGTTATCTTCCTATGCATAAGCAGAGGTTACCTCATATGACGTCACATCAAAATGATCAGAAGATCCAAAAGACAGCAACAGGTGACACTGAACAGAAATCTCAATTTATCAATAAAATAGAGCTGAACCCACTCCTGCAGTTCCTGGAACTCTCTACTGGTCATTGCTGCCTTGTTAAAGTATAACTAAAGGCAAATCTTTAAGTCTTGGATGGTGTTGAGAAGGATTAGAACACCTGTCAGGTTTTTACTGCTGTCTGTGCCCCATTACAGAGATTCAGATTCGGTGACAAGGAATTTCCTTACTACGGAGGGATTTTCTGTCACTTCGGTTTTGGATATGAGACAGAGAGTAAAGGGAAATCTCTCTAATGGGACGCAGATGGCAAATAAACACCTGACAGGGGTTATAACTCCCTTATAATATCAAATATGAAAATAAAAAGTTCTGCCTTTACCTGTACTTTAAAGTTCCAATATGTAGGCTTGGGAGGTGGAAGGCAAAGGGTCATGCTCAACCTACTGCCTAGACATAATGAACATTTATCCTATGCGGTGTGGAGGATCCCCACTTCAAGGGTAGATTATGTCTAATTTATACAAAAAATCACCAGCACCAAAAAATATATTGTGAAATAATTCCCAAATAAATGCTGCTGCTCCTTAGTGACATTAACAAAAAAAAAAAAAAAAAAACAATGCAAATAAACAACTAAAAAAAATAATAAAGAACACAAAATAAAAATATTTATTATATTTTTTTGAGTGTTTATTTGCGCTGTTTTGATGTTTTTGTTGTTGTTTAGATTATTTCTAATCCCTAGAGTTGGGCTTCATCTAAACTTTAGTGTTAATGCATCAGTAACAATACTGTTTATTCAGCTTAGCCTACAAATTCTGGTTTACTTTTAACCACTTGCTAATTTTTTTAAAAAAGCGGTTTCTTCATTGATGTTGTAAAACTGCAAATAATCTTTCTACACAAGTTTAGGTCAAAATGTACTCTGGTACATTTCTTTGATGAAAATAACCCAAATCAGTGTTTAATATTTAGTTGGTAGGAAAGTTATAGAGTCCACAAACTATGGGATATACAGTGCATCCAGAAAGTATTCACAGCGCTTAACTATTGACACATTTTGTTATGTTACAGCCTTATTCCAAAATGGATTAATTTTTTTCCTCAACATTCCCTGATGTACTGATGGCCGATCTAATTTCTTGAGGCCCAAAAATGCCAGGACAGTACAAATAGCCCCCTAATGACCACTTTTCGGAAAGTAGGCAGTCTGAGGTATTTAGTAAGAGGCATGGTGAGTTTTTTGAAGCTGTCATATTTTGTCATTTTGTGGAAAATAAAGAAATGAAAAACATTCACAAATTCTTTTTTCATACTGTGAAAAGGGACCCTGACTGTCGACATGTATGTAAAATAAATGAATAAAAAAAATGATTTTTTTTTTTATACTCCTGTGACCAGAGCAATACAATGTTACCATTGTACTACTCTGGGCAAGTGATCAGGATTTTTTTTTTTTTTTTTTACACATTATGATTGCCCATACTAATAAGTATGTATAAGCATAAGCAAGCCTTTTTACTTACTGAAACTGATAACCGTATTTTTCGCTCCATAAGACACACCTGACTATAAGACACGCCTAGGTTTTAGAGGAGAAAAACAAGAAAAAAAAAT